GAAGACGAAGTCCATAAAAGCTTCCGATGGCCGACGCCCTTAGTTGTATCCTATCGAGTTAATATTGAGTTAGAAACATAGAAGATATATTTAATATTGTGCCTATCCAGACCTCCCAAGAACCGAAGTCCGAGAACTTTATAGATGAAGTACCTTCATCTTATACAGAAGAAGTTAATGACAACTAAACAGGTTGTGTGTTTATAAATGATTTTGTGAGCTCTTTCTCTCAAATCGTATAGGTTAAATGAATCTATTTATTTCTCGACAAGTATATTTTTGATTTATTCGTTGAGTGATCCATTATATTTAATTACTCTAATATCACTACTTTTGTATGATTTAAGTTCATTTTGTTTATTAAATTTTTCTTTAATTTTGTTTAAGAAATGTCTCTCATTAAGTCTCTGAATCAAATCTATATAATATCCACACACGTGTTAATCCGCGTATCAAAATTTGATTAACTGGTGTCATTGTGATGTAGATTTGAACTTCACAGTCCAGATCGATCTAAGTGTTTATTGCCTTCCTATAAAAAGTTAGAGAACCGATCTCACGATCGTGTGCCCGTAAGCAACGTGGACTAAGATCTACGTCCTTGGCTACTCACAATACATTTATGACCTTAAATTAATTTTTAATGTCAAATTTCAAAATAGCCATTTGCCAAGGATACTGCATTCAAGTCTATAGCCACTACATTTTTGCTTTTATTCCTAGTATATCAGCAAAATAAACAATTAACAGCTTCTTTTATTATTCTATCAGCAAACTCAAAACATTTCATCCAAAATGTCAACTCGTAAGACCTGCCACTATTATGTTGTTGTTGTTAAGTTATAACAACGCAACACTTGGGTGATCTGCCTAAAGGGATGCTTTCCGGGAGGTCTTTTCAAGGGAAACTGGCCCCTATTTAGGCGTTACAGATGTAAAAAAAACCCGGAAAACTCCACGTGGACGGCCAGTCCGAGCGAGGCGCGAACCAACGACCGAACTCCCAGTGTTCGGGGTACGAAGACTGCTCGGTAACTGGTGGGCGCACCACTATTATGAGTCTGTCTCATTCTATACGGCTCGTAAAAGGCCAGCTTGAGTTTGCATGCATTTACACAGGACCTTGCACAATTCAAACCCATTTCAATAAAAATCCTGTCTTGTTTTTAATAAAAATTATAATTTAGACAAGTGTTACCAAATATAAAAGCTTAATAGTACATGAAGAGCAGAGATATTAGAAAGATTAGGGACTCAAACACTAGAAGAAAACCTAAACAGTGAAATGAAGAAGCAAACAAAACAGGTAGAATAAACAGCACTGTACTCAATTTATAATAAATGCATACTAGTGGCGTGCCGTCATTAGAAGCGTTGGAAGCGCCGCTTCCCTTGTATTTTATAAAAAATAAATACATATTAATTTTAATTATATTAAAATAATCGCACAATATTTTATTATAACCGCATTATGTATCTTATTACAAATTTCTATACTACACGTGAAAAAAAA